TAGTTTCAGTAGCGATCAATATATCGTCAAGATACAAGAGAATTTTGTTATCTTTAAGTAACTACATAAAAATAGCATAAATGTACCGCTGGAATGTACGTGGCGCGTTCGTGAGGCCGAATGGCATTCGAACATATTCATATTGTCCGAATGGTGTCACGAACGACGTATATTTTATAGAAGATTCCGCGACCCTAACGTGGTGGAAGGCGTTGCGCAGTTCGAGTTTAGTAAAATACTTTTTATTTCGTAATTCGTCGATGTTGTCGTCTATTACTGGTGTTGGAAAATTATCTTTTACTGTTAATTTGTTGAGTTCGCGATAGTCGACACATAAGCGTAAACCTCCATTTTTCTTGCGCACCAATACGATTGGACTGGCGTAAGGAGAGTTACTCGGACGAATTATTTTTTCTTCCAATAGTTGTTCGATAATAGCTTTTAACTTTTCTTTGTCGCTAAAGGCAAGTCTACGCGGACGGAAAGAAATAGGTTGTTTGTGTTTTAACGCGATCGTCATTTCCACATTGCAATCGTTAGCAGGTTTCACATTATCGGCGGACGCGTATATTTTTTTATACAATTCAATAACTTCTTTAGCCATTTTCGGTTCTATATCCGGGTTGATGTTCAACGCTTCCGTCACGCCAGTCTCTGTGTCGATACAATTAATTTGCATAATTTTGTTTTGCAAATCGAACGATGGGGATTTTTCCGATTCGATATTTTCAATCGCAACCGCAAACTCGTCATCAAAAGACACTTTAATATGCGGCAACGATATGAAATCTCTTCCGAGAAACGTATCGCATTGCATCGCGGTATTCGAGACAATTCCGAAAACAACATTTACCGGTATTTCGTTAACAGTACAATTGCATGCAAATACGTTTAGTCTATCTAATTTTAATCCGTTTATACCTTGATACATGTGGTCATTAATCGCGACAGGTTCTCTCAAACAATTAGGTACACAATTTTCTTTGATCAAACTAATCGGCGAACCCGAATCTATTATTGTGCGAACTGAATAATTGTATTTGTTACCTTGATCATTCGCGATCGGATACTTGAATGTTACCGTATACGGCGGATTCGGTACCAGCTGTACCAGATGAGTAGTTCTGTCTGCGTAATTCTTCGATGATGGGCGGTTTTCGGGACAATCCTCTATGCGATGGGTAGCGCTTCCGCACTTGAAGCATGCACCCCTCGGTCGCCTCGGCTGCGAACAATCCTTGGACAGATGACCTCGTTCACTGCAATTATAACACTGGGGCGGTTGAGCCGATCCTTCGCAGCGCGCCGCGATGGATCCACTGGTCTCGAAGTCGGATTTTCCTTCCTCTCTGGTCGCACGTACGATAAATTTTTCTCTCTTCTATCTTGTTTGACATTGGGATGAAGCAATAATTTCTTGAAGGCCTCAAGCATGTCTCCTTTCGTTGCTTATCGTTGCATACGCGCTTGATCGCGCATACGGTCATCCGGCATGCCGTCAATCGCAAAATCGACGAATTCTTCGTCTCCGATAGCTATTCGGTTTACCAATATTATTTCGTCGTGGAAGTAGTCGCTGAACGTCTCATTGGGTTGCCACGTTCTCTTCTCGAACTCCTTCCTCAGTGCCGATTGCGAAACTTTTTCGTCGAACATCTCCTCAATTGCCTTGTATAAATCCGGGAGCCGCAACCGAACATGTTCCGCCCGCGAATGAAACCATGACAACGCTTTGCCTTTCAATCGCATTGTTAGCAATACCTTCATGGTGTTCTCGTCCAAATGATACGTCTCACGCAGAAGCTCTGCCTGCATTTTCCATTTCTGAAATCCACTGCTTTCTCCACTGAATTCGCACAATAAATCAGCGACCGCACGAATGCCGATTGAAGAAGAATCACGTTCTGTTCTCAACAATTCGTATTCTCGTCGGAACAAATCTTCGGCACGCGTCTCGATATTATCACACGTATCAATATGAATTGGTGACGCCGTCGCACCTTCTACTCGATCCACAATGGTAGGACCATAAATCTCGCTGTCTTTACTCCCTGGCGAAATTTGATCAAGACTCGTCGGTACTGCGGACCATGATTCCGGCTGTACTGAATTTAGCCGATTTATCAATTCAGCTTTCATGCCGGTGGTCGGCATTTGCATGTGCTTCAATATTTCTAGGATTAAGCTAGGATTAAGCTAGGATTTGCTAGGATTAAGCCTCAAATTCCAGGTCATATAATAGCGGTTAACCTTTCCCACAAGTATCTCTAAATTGTCTCGAACTGTCTTAACTTTATTTCCAGAGGTATACACTATGAGATCATCTGCGAAGGATAAGGCAGATGCTTTCCCTTCATCGTTAAGATTAAATAACTTTGGCAAATCGCTGAGAAAAATATTTTAAAAACTGGGAGAGTTGACTGATCCCTGCTGCGTACCCTCAATAATTTTAAACTCTTCTGAAGATATGGACATTCCATCCCGAATAACAAACGTTTTATCTTTAATCATGTCCCAGATTATAAAAGTGAGCCATGAAGGGCATTGTTTTTTAAATAATTTATAAAGAAGTCCATTAAGTCAAACCGAGTCAAATGCTTTCTCGATGTCCAGTAAAGCTGCTCCAATAAAATGGCTGTTTGAAACCTTCAAATTAAGATCCGACAAGAGCTTGGGGATGGCGTGTGTGGTCGAGTGTTGCTGCTTGAAACTAAATTGACAGTCTGGTATGATGTTATTAATATTGCAAAAAGTGTTTATTTTTGAGTTGATTATTGCCTCGTACACTTTACTAGGCGATAGACTAATTGGTCGATAGCTCGATGGATCACTTGGATTTTTTATTTTTCTTAAGTATTGGAAGGACCTTCTCCCGTTTCCAAGACTTGGGGAAATAATAATAATTTAAGGCATTATTGAATATTTGTTAGGTCAAATATCATGATTCTTGGTAGATGCTTAAGTACAATAGGAGGAATATTGTCCAGGCCAATTTATTTTAAGTTGGTGTTACAGTATACAGGGTGTCCCAAAAATGTCCTCCGACCCGGAAATGGGGCACTCGGGGGTGAATTGGAACAACTTTTTCCTTAGCAACAATGTAATCTGAGGCTTCGTTACCGAGATATTAACGAAAAACCGCGACCAATCAGAGCACGAGTTTGCCAGCCGATTTCCCGCGCTAGCGGTGGCTACGTGCTACGCTTGTACTACGAAGCTCCAAACAAGTAGATCAGTATTCAGTATGCATCGAAGGAAACTGCGTATAATAGCAAATAAAAAAGACGTAACAAATGAAATCATACTGTTTATCATCTGTCGTTTGATATTTAAAGAGATTAATGAATGAAACGTAAATGTAGGCAAATTATGTGTAACGTAAAAAGACGAATGCACATTTACATTTTTGTAAATTCCTTTTTACGAATTTGTAAATTTCCTTTTCAAATAACGTGTGAACGAAAAGGTAATGTAACAGAGAATGAACGAGAAGTGATCGTAATTCGGTATTAGTATAAAAATTCGTAGTTTACTAACGGTCAACAATGTTACTGATAATGAATAAGTTTCTTCGAAAAGCCCGAAGAAAAAGTTAGATACAGAAACTTGCAGAATTATCGCAGGAAATAAACCATAGCTTGCGTTAAATTAAGAAAATAATAATCAGCCATAAATTGATTAAAACACCCTTTCGGAAATTCACCTGCAGTTTGCAAACCTGTGTTACTAGGTCACTGAACCGATCCTGGTCATCGACGGCCGAAACGGTTTATGACAGGGTATTGCCCAGTTCGCAGGTGATCGCAGGTATATCTCACCAGCCGAAGTTAACCCCTGAACCTACAACTACGGGCATAGCCCGTAGTAGATGATCGGACCAAACGTAAATATTACGGGCATAGCCCGTAGTAGATGATCGGGCCAGAAGTGAATATTACGGGCATAGCCCGTAATACGATGATCGGGCCAAATATAAATATTAGCGGCGGCGCCCTCCTAAAGTTATAAATATTTTTGGAATATGTGATAAGTAATTACAACCTGATGTAATAATTGTGGTAGATGTAAGTACTACAAAAAGTTTATTTATACAAAAATCAGTAATACAAAATTAATAATCTGCAATGGTGTGTGTTCGGGATTCTGTAGAAGTTTCGACGGGGGAGAGGATGACGGTTCCCGTTCCACGGCGCGAGCGGATCGCGTCGTAGCGCGTGCTGACGCGTGTCACACCATCTATGCGCAACAAGCCTAATCGGGTAACTGTCGATGGCTGACAGGTGTAATGGATTCGCGCGTGGTGTCGCGCACCGTCTTCCGCTCCCTAACCGCCATGCTTTTGCCGAATTGTGCGAATTTCCTTCTTCTCGTACGGGCTATCGAACTGGACGGACGTGTATCTGCTCCTCGGTCGTGCCGTCGAATAAGTCACGCGTGTGTTAGCTACTCGTTTGTGCTGACGAGTTGGCCACGCGTGTTCGTTTAACTTCTCGTTTGTGCTGACGAGTTGGCCACGCGTGTTCGTTTAACTTCTCGTTTGTGCTGGCGAGCAAGTTATACCACACTTCCTTCTTCTCGTGCGGGCTATCGAACTGGACGGACGCGTGTCTGCTCCTCGGTCGTGCCGTCGAATAAGCCACGCGTGCTTTAGCTACTCGTTTGTGCTGGCAAGTTGGCCACGCGTGTTCGGGGTTACTTCTCGTTTGTGCTGGCGAGCAAGTATTAACCCGTTTTCTTTTCTTTTCGCGGTGTTGGCGAGCAAGCCACACTCGTACACTTTCTTTCTCGTTTGTGCTGGCGCGAAAGTAACACGTGTGCACGCGACGCGTATACTGTTATAACCTCCGTAAAGGGAAATAAAGCCACCGTTATGTAAGTGCGTACGAAAGTTCAAACCTAACCTTACATCCTCGCTATTCATGACCACGTGTGCTCAATTCCGTTCCCGATCGGCACTTTTGCGAATTGGGCTGCTACACTCCACCCACTTCTTGTAACGTTTATTTTACTTGGCAATCTTTATTCGCAACAGTATGATACAATTCGAAACATTCTGGTAGATGTAAGGGAACTTTGCACTTCTTACACTCCCACGTTATTTCTCTACGTTTTTTATTTTTTTGGCAAACTCTACAAGGTTTTGACTGTCTTAATTTTGATGCTGTTGGGTCAATGTGTTTTGGAAAATGAGCCCAATGCTTCGCGTGCAGTCTCTCTGGCATATCTCCGGAAGATAATTGTCCTCGTTCTCTATAATTCGGTTTTGGCATATTCTCCAATAGTGATTCGGCTATGTTGATCCTATAGTCAACGTTAAATTGTTTCTTCCCGTTATTTACTTTGTTGCATAAAATGTATGAATTAAAAAGACCAATATCGAACAGATAAAAAAAAATTTTTTTATATCCTTTCATGTATTTCCTCATTGCTGGAAAGCATGCTAATATTTGGTCTTGGAGATCAATTCCATTCATTCCCTTGTTGTACTCTGTAATACAATTTGGTTTTGGAGTACGATTGGATCCTTGTGTACTCATTTCGACTGTTTCATGTTTTGTCGTCATAATATAAACATCTCGCTTGTCTTTCCATTTTATAGCGAGTATTCGGTTGCAGCTTCTTATTGCGTATTCCCCCCTTTTTAATTTTACATTACACAAATCATTTGGCATATGCTTTCTATTTCCAGGTACCGTGCCAATTACATTTGTTTTATAATTAAACGATAATGTCAGAAACAATTTTGGGAAAGAATACCAGTTATCTATGTATAAAGTGTGACCCCTGTGCAACACTGACTCAGAATGCTCTTTGACAACACTTTCCGAAGCGCTATCATCACGGTTTATTTTATCGTGGCCTGTATATATTTTAAATTCATAGCAATAACCTGAATCGGAGTCACACAATTTATAAAATTTAACGCCAAACCTTGCCCTTTTTGATGGGTTAAATTGCCTATAAGATAGGCGCCCCTTGAATTTCATGAGCGATTCATCAATAGCAATGTCTTCTTTCATTATATATACTTCTTTAAATTTTTGGTTCAAAAAATTTATCACTGGTTTAATCTTGCTCAATTTATCTGTATTGGCAACCAGATTATTGTTTGCGAAATGCAAACACCTTGTAATTTGCAGATATCTTTTCAAAGGCATCGATTTTCTAAATATCGGCGTTTCGATAACAGCCCTCTTCGACCAATTCATTTGTATTCTTGGTTTTTTTACCTGTGCCATTATTATGGACAATGCGAAATATCTTTTAATTTTGCTAGAATCTACAGGAAACCAAGTGTCGTCGATTTCTCGTGTTCTGCGTGGATTCGCTCGTATTTGATCTGCATACCGGTTAGTTTCGGTTACAATATTTTCCCAGAATATGTCATCAAATATTAGATTAAATATATCTAATTCTCTTCTACTTCCTCCTAATTGACGTAAGGCTGCCTCTCTTATGCCAGGAGTCATCGTATAGTCCCAGATTTTTGGACTATTTCTTATTTCTTTCCAAAGCCAGGGCTCTGGTAGTTGATCGTCGTCAGAAGTATCATCAATAACTAATCGCATGCATTTTCTTCGAACAGGACATATATCGTTACTACTGTCACTTTCGTTAGCAAAATTATTAGCACAATTCTCACTGCTCTCATCACGAAATCTTTTTCTTGAAAACATCTTGTGGGGATAGTTCTCAAGAATTTATGAAAATAAATTTCGATGTGCGAATGTGACCAAGAATAACTTGAAAGTGATCACGATACGAAGAGATAATAAGAATATATCTCGAGCCTTGTCTGTGCTATTTGTGGTGGGACAAATTACAAACCACGACCGTCGTACCACGAGCGATGCCCGTAATATTTACGATTGGCCCGATCATCGTACTAAACAAGTCGTGTGAATGGCTCGAAGGCTGCGCGAGCTTGTTTACGTTTTCGGCCCAAAATTCTCGAACGTAAATCGTAGGTTAAGGGGTTAAGGGTTGTAACGTCAAGTGCGTCCTGGTTATTCCACCGAATACGTACTCACTTCACTGCACGACCACTAACACTGATCACCCGACACAATCACTTAATGTATTTTTAATCCAACGTGTTGTTACTACGTTAGGAAAATTCGTGGCCCCGAAAAGTACCGATTGTTTCCAATTTATCAGATCTTCTACGTAGCCAAACACTTGCACAGCAGCAGCCGCATATTTGTTATTTTGTACGTACCACCAGAACATTGCGTAATACTCCTGTGAACTGAACATCTCTGTCGCCCGATTGCTAACCAACTGACAGAATTTTTCCGTAAGGGTTCCTCTACCCCAAGTAGTTTTCCATCGTTACATTGTGAGTTCACTCCCACCACGATAAAATTTAGGTAAAACCAGTTTCATCAAAGCGCGTAGCCCGTTAATTTATTGCTAGGGTACCTACTGTTTCGAAATAGAGAACAGATATCACGTGCATCGGCTTGAAAATGTCCGAAATAAAGAGGACCACCAACGTACCCGTTGCTTCCAGTTGGAAAGTACAATGTACATTGTTTTCGTCGAGAAGCAGGGTAAAAATTTCACTGACACGTGTAAGTTGACGCTGCTTGGCCCTGTCCGACCACCTTTGTAGAGGCCGGAGCGGACGTCATAATAACCGGATTTCGGTTATTTATGACGCAATTTCTCGGCTTAGTACAAGCGCCGCGCGTAGCCACCGCTAGCGCGGGAAGTCGGCTGGCAAAATCGCACTCTGATAGGTCCGGATTTTTCGTTAATATCTCGTTAACGAAGCCGCACGTAACATTTTTGTTAAGGAAAAAGTGGTTTCAAATCACCCCAACAACCCCTCATTTCCCCGAAAGAGAGGCACTTTTGAGACACCCTATATACATAAGCAAAAGAATATCGTACTTCGTTACTTTCGTTAGCTGCGAAACTTCTACTGAAAAGTGAGGAAGCGAAATTACAGAATAATTCAACAAAAAAAAAGATAAGTTCATAGCAACCTTAATATTTTATCTTATCTTATTAAAATTACTTATTACATTTATTTTTTTCTTTTTAAATGCCTTACAAATCAATATTGTTTAAGTTTTTATTTTACTGGGAGGTTACAAAGTGAAATTATAAAATAAGTAAAAATGAAAAGTAAAACCGCCCCATTGAGATTCGGTCGGGGTCCACTGACTGTTGTTCACGCGTTTAGGTTGCCGGGCATCGCGTTGAAAACGTGAGTTTTCGCCGCAGTAGGATTCAAACAGGATTTCCAAGCCAGCAGTGATGTCAGAATCGTGGGTCGCTTTACCCCCATCACTCTTTTCTTACTATAGCTCACCGTCTCTCGAACGGCCAGTGCACACGGACGGGGCTGGGATATGCTTGCGTGTGTGCCAGCACGGTGGACGTAAAGTGGGGGTAGCCGGGACGTCATAGTGGGAGACAATGGTACGTTGGAGTGGGGGAGTGATGGGGATAAAGCGACCCACGATTCTGGTATCACTGGCTGGGACATGCTTGTGTGTGCCAGCACGGCGGATGTAAAGTGGGGGTAGCCGGGACGTCATAGTGGGAGACAATGGTACGTTGCAGTGGGGGAGTGGTGGGGATAAAGCGACCCAGGATTCTGGTATCACTGGCTGGGATATGCTTGTGTCTGCCAGCACGGTGGACGTAAAGTGGAAGTCGGTAGGTTATAATGGGAGACGATGGTACATCGGAGTGGGAGAGTAGTGGGGGTAAACAGTACCACGATTCTGGCATCACTGCTCCCAACTGTTAAAACCTAAATACTCGCAATTTACATAAGTAGCATTAACGGTTGGCCAATGGTTGGGACTTAGTTGGGATATGGCGTGGAATACCGGATAATGAAAGAACTTCACGTGGTGATGTATAATAACAGTTTTATTCTCTCGCGACTAGTCGTTCCGAGATACCAAGGTTGACTCACACGCTAGTCCTTCTCTCACGTACCTCGGCTGTCGCTACAATAGTTAGTGTTTTTTCCTACAAATTCCCGACATAGGGCCTACGACGAAAACTTATGACAATTTGCCAACGAATAGCCAATGTTGGGCCTACAATTATTACAGTTGGTTAATTAACATGAAATTTACAACGATAATACAACATTGAGCATAATGCCGCGTCGGCATTGCAACGCGCTTTTTTATGTATACGAATATATATTGACTTATCATTGTTTTGTTTTATGTCATACAATGGCATTTGAAACAAAGAACAGAATGCTGCGTGTCAAGACACCAACTGATGCTAGCAAATCAATCGAATCGTGCGTGAGTTACGTGAAATCCGTGAAGCCACGCACGCGACCGCGATCTTCATTTGCCTAAACCAGTGGTCGGAAAACGCATTAGTTTAAAAATCCAAAAATCAGCAGCAGGACGATTAAAATTTTGTTGAGAGCCAAATTTCTTTTCAAGAACTTGTCAAGAACCATGTTTTTCGGAGTCGGTTTAAGCTAACTAATAAACATTAAATATAACCAAATATAATAATAATCTTATTTATTGACAAAAAATACAAAACACGCATTTAATGTGAACTATGACCTTGCATTTCCTTGGAAAGATTTGATAAGTCTGGTTTGTATGTCGTTGTTTTTATTTTCAAGCAGGATTCCAGATTCTCATCAGTAAGACGATTTCTCAATTTACTCTTGATGAGGTTCATGCTTGAAAATGATTGTTCGCATGAATACGTAGAGCCAAAGAGTGAAAGAATAGCAAATGCTAATTTTTTTAACTGATCGTAAGAGTCAGGAATACTCTTCCAGGTGTTGAAAATTATCAGGTCTTCTTTTTCCAGGTCTTTCAAAGCAGACCACTTCTGCTATGAACTGAGATCACATTTGTTTTTCTCTAATTTTTCCAGATCAACATTAAGGCGTTCAAATTTCGAACTCCATAATTCTTTGTTTTTAACTCCAGCAATTGCATTTCAAAAGCGCCAATGTCAATAGTAAAGGGAGAGAAATTCAATTTTGTTACGTCAGCACTGAGTGGTATTTAACAAAGGCTAACGTCGCTATGCTATTTCTGAATTCCTGAAACCTTCGTAGAAAAGCTTCCCTCATATTTAAAATTGTTGTATTGAAATAGCAAATGTCAATTACCGAGTTATTTTTTTATATTTACCGAGACAATTTGTTTTCGAATGAAATGACTTCTTCCAACATCGAAAAATTGTGTTTCCTTTCCCCTGTAGTTTACGATTAAGATTATTTAGATGAGACGTAACATCTACCATGAAATAAAATTTTTGGATCCACTGATCGTCCGTTAGTTCAGGATAGTCAAAACCCTTCTCAAGGAGAAATGCTTTAATTTCTAATAATAAGGAAGCGAATCGTTTTAAAACGTTTCCTCTTGAAAGCCAACGTACCTTATTATGGAGCAGAAGATCTGCGTAGTCACTCCCCATTTCATCTAAAAATTCTTTAAATTGGCGATGATAAAGAGCTCAATTGTGTTGACAATTTTGATGACCAATTCCATAACATTGCAAATTTTTTCTAGAAATTTCTGCGAACAAAGCGCTTCTTGATGAATGATGCAATGGTAAACAAGTATCTCATGATTTATTTTGTCCTTAAAAATAGAAACAAAACCTTTTCTTACTCCTGTCATACTTTCTGCCCCATCGGTTGAAATTGAAACAATTTTCTCGAGCGGAATATGATGTTTCTCCATGCATCCATGACAGCATTTGCAGTATCCTCGCCACGTGTTTGACCTTTCAGTGGTAATAATCCTAAAAGTTCTTCTTTAGGACCCGCAGACGAAATAAGTCGAACAAAAAGTGAAACTTGCGCTGTATCATTTATGTCACAAGATTCGTCAACAGCTATTGACACAGCTGAAACCAGTTTAAGATCTTCGATTTGCTGATTGGTTATATTCGAAGACATTCTGACTGTTCTATCTTTTACAGTTTTAGCAGACAGTGGTAACATTTTAATTTTTTTAACGGGGGAGACTCCGTGGCCCGTGCGCTGGCCGTGCACTCACACAATCAACGGGAACCGTGTATGTATATGCGATGCACAAGAGAGACATTCGATTTCGTAGGAACCAACTTGAGCCTCGACAATTGCACAAATGCACTTTTCACTGGTATAGAACTCACGGGTAGACTTCCCTACAGGGTGGTCTGGTCCGTATAAACGCCAATAAACACATTCTAATTGAAAGAATTAGAATTTTAGAAAGTGTGCGATTGTGACAGACGCCGATGAAAACACACAAGATGGCTGCACAAGTCACATTTTGTCAAATATCTCACGATTTAATGGTTTTCTCGTCAAACGCAGACCAGACCACCCTGTACACTACTATCACACTATCGTGGAAATTCGATTTGAGTCACTTTATCACTTCTGGAAGGCACAAGTTGGTTCCTACGATTTGATGCGTCCAGACGCAGAAATAAACATTGGTATAGTTCAAGGATTCTCCGCTAGAGGTGTTTATGGTATTTGCCAGTCACTTTGGCCTGCGTTACCACGAGCATCGATAACACAGAGGGAGTCGGTAAGTGTAACCTCGCAACACGTGGTGGATCGTGTCGATTGTTTTGTTACGCTGTTGCCACATGACAATTTTGCCCGTCAGGAGAACGATGGAACACCTACGGCCTACGGCTCGTGATGAGATTTCGATTCTCGCCGAACGTAGGAAAAGAACGGCGCGAGGGAAAGAAATCCGAGAATTAAACAATACGTACTAATGTGTGCAAGGATGAACCTTCTTATTCGTACTTGCAATGATGCTTATTTTTTTAATTAATGAAATTACATACGAGATACTTGACATGATATTCTCGAGAAACAAATTGTAAAAATGGCACAATATATATTCCGGGTATTCCACATACGAAAAACATGGAATACTATACAAATCTCTTGTTGGAAATGATATTTATTTATTTTTTATTGACATAATTGACGCAGGTGTTATATACTTACACAAATATTTCATAAAAGAGACACGAAAGGAACACAATTAAACGCATACGCTCTGTCAATCTTTCATTCGTCGCCCAGCAGAGATAGATTTTGTACTAACAACTGATTGCTGTCGCATGCGTACTTAGCGTATCAACTTCGCTGCGTCTGCACCTGTTCCAGTACGTATTTTGTTTTAAAAATTGGACCAACTGACTTGAGTTTTTTTGAGAAGCTAGAAGGATTAACTTATTAGGTGACATGTTTTCGTTATTTCGAAAAAACTACAATTGTTGGAATAGCGAAGAGAATAGTAAAAATATTAAGAAGTTCTTTATTCATGTTTTTTCTGATCCTATAGTGAAAATTTAACAAATACCTCTTATACACTTAATTAAGATAC